GTCTCAGCAAACCGAAAAACGGGAACCCGGAACCCTCCAAAAAAGGACACACCTATCTGCACGAAGCGCTACCATGTACAAATATGAATGAAGAAACCCCCAAGCAAAGGAGCTTCATGCTGGTTGAGCTCGTTTTACACACGACCGGAGAGCTCGCCATGACTAGCGCAGATCGTGCAAAGATGTCTTTTTGTTGGCAGGCGCTGTACCCTTTGTTTGCTTGGTGCAAAGGGAAACAAAAACGAAGCCGTTTGGAGACGCAAGTGAACTGACCACGTGCATAAGCGTTAAGAAAACATCCCGGGCTTGCGGCGGTGACTTCGTGCATGATGGAGTTGAGTCTGCCACTTCAAGGCCACGCCATTGAAAACAAGGGAGTCTATGGGGAAAACGGGGCACCCCTTTTTCTCGGAAGTGTCCGTCAAATAGGTGGAATGTTGCGGAAATGCCCCACAGGTTTGGGCTGGCGCGCTGCGCCGTTGGTTCCGTTTTGGTTTCCAGAAACGTTTCCGCGCCTGGGCAAACATCTCCGGAGTTGACTCTGATCTGCAGGTGGAGCGTGCTGTACTGCGGACGAACCTCACGTCTGCCTCTCCATTCTGAACCCGGGGTTCCAGACCAGAAAGACACCAGCCAGCATTGGCGAAACGTGGTTGTTGAAAAAAGGAGTGGTTCAACCAGTCTCAGCCAATATTGGCTCATATTGGCCCCGCCTTTTGGATGAAAGAAAAACCGACGCAAGGAAAATCCGTAATTGTGGAGTGGTCCTAACTTCTGTCATGCCATCAGGAAAGTGTTCATTCATTCCAAGTGCGATGGGTAGAAAAGTTGGTGGGTGAAGGAAACCATCACACACCAACCACCGATCTTCTGCCCTAATGCCGGTTGGCTGTGGTTGTTCTTGTAGCTTCCCACTGTGGAGTACAACTTAGGATTAGGAGTCCCACATTTGAACAAGGCGAGCGGACAAGCATAATATGACACATCCGGACTAGTCCTGCTAGGAGTCTATCCTTCACTGTGTGGGAGTAGTTCAGGTTTGCTTCAAGCCTCTAACAAATGCTTAGGGTCTTGAGTTGCTTTTGGCGTCTCCAAGGGCCTGCCAGAATCCATCAAGGGGCTGTGTTCTTTTCGTGGTTGATGGTACCATGTTGGAGCTTCAACTTGAATTAATGCCCAAAAAATACAACCGCCGGCCCATTTTGTGGGTCCATGAAGCAAACCCATTCGGGTGTGCCGAAAAAAAAAAAACTGGACCTCCCAAGATGGAGAGCGTTCCTTTTGTTGTCCTCTAAAAAACCAACAAAAAGGGTCCCTCAAAAAATATCAAGAACGAAACACCCAAACCATCTGGATTCAAGTGATTTTGGCCATTAGCCGGGAACCAACTTCGCCACTGGCCTCAGCCACTCTGAGGTCAAGGGCAGGATAGTGGAAGCCAGCGGAGACGTGGGCGGTCGGCAGGGCCTCACCAAACCTCCGGTTCGCACGAGCGAGAGCGGTTTGGAGACGTGGCTTGATACTGCGGATGGACAAAATCCGTTCGCGCCACTTTGAAACCACGGTTGAAACCATTGTTTGTTGGTATTTACAGGGCAATCATTATCTAGGTGGTGCAGGATTTCGTCCATCCACAGTAAGTCTACAATAACCATGGGCTGAGGAAGACCTTTTGGCCAAAGGCATCCCTGTCATAGTGATGAACTGGCTCAAATCCGAATCCGCTTCACAAAAATCCATACTAAAGTGGGGTTGAGAAAAAACAACATGTGCCCTTTACCAGCAACTGATGGCATCTGTACCTCAAGAATACATGTCCTAATTCAGCACCCAGCCAGGTTCCCATCGACGACCCAGCTCTTGAAAATCCTATTGGGGGTTTATGTCAAAATGGGAACCCCAAAGCTGGTGTTCTCCTTTTGGTGCCCTTTAAACCAACCTGTAAAAGGGTGCCGAGCCTCACAACAACACTTAAACTCCTGAAAAAGTGACCTGACCAATTCAGGGTGGCTCTCTCGAGTGGCTCTCTCTTAGACCATCGCATTTGCTGTGGCTGCTTCGTTGGACCATCGCAGTTGCCGTGGCTGCTTCGTTGGACCATCGCACACAGCAATGGATGGTTCCCCTGTTTGAAATGGCGACAGGGTATACGGTCACTCGGCACATGAGCACAGCCCCCACACACACACACACACACACACACACACACACACACACACACACACACACACACACACACACATCCACCTGAGACCCAAGGATTACTCAGCGAGCCGTGAGCCTCTTATCCCCACTGCGAAAGAGCTCAGGTGCCAGCATTCGCTCAAGGTACTTCTTGATGCCGGCAGTGAGACTCTCCAGCATCCTTGCAGATGGGTTTGCACGACCCAACTTGTGGGCAACAAACTTCCGGTGCAAGTCCAACAAACATGGGTTGCCATATCCTCAAATGCCCAGTCGCCATGGGCCTCAATTCCGACCAGGCTTTCGTTAGCTCCTTTTGCCAGGTCCCGAGTCGTAGTTCACAATACCGCGAGAATGAATTGCCACTACTGCAAACATACTGCACATACAGTAGAGAGTTGGTGAAAGGACCCAACCCCGAACTTCACCCCTGTTTGGTTGCAGACTTGGGTGTTTTTTCCAGATCTCAGGTCTGCAATCCTGCTAGACCTGGGCTCGAAGAAACATGTTGACAGATCGCCTTTTGGTTGAACCAAATTCTAGGTACCTTCCCCGTTCCGTTCGGGATCCTTCGGGATCCTTCTCTGAAAAACCCAATGGCCGTCTCACCCAGAACCAATGGGTGGTTTGTGAAGAGAAGGAGGGGGGTTCCTTTGTGGCCTGGCGGAAGCCATTCCAAGCAACCCAAAGAGTACCCTTCAAAAGTTGCTCAAACGGTTTCAGGAAAGGGATATTTCACCGCGGTATCATCCCCATGACATTAGTCTGTCTGAAAAAATCGCCTTTTTGCCTTGATTGCACCTTCAAGACGATCTACCAAGGCAGGATCCCCACTGAGTAGTAGGGATGGGGACCCTTCCCACACCCTGCGCCACAAACCCAGCAGCCTTCCATTTTCGGATGCATAACTTCATGCGCCTTTGGATGCGGAAGCCGCGCCGCGCAATAACTCTGTGCTGTGGCATTCGCTTGATTCCCCGACTGATGGACAGAATCCAACGCCAATCGGCACCAGTTGGAATTCGTGGAACCCAGTAGGCTTGACTTCTGACTGATGCAGGATGTCGTCCACCGGCAATATCGCAAGTAGGGGGAACAGAGGAAACCCGAAATTTGACCTTTCAAAGTGAGTACCCCCGCCCGCTGTTGGCAGTTTGAGACACCCATTTAGGGAATCAACCGTCTGCCTACGTTGCCAGACCTTTTCGCGTTCTATTGACGCGTGACTCACATTAAAACATACGCGCTCCGAGATTCCAAGCCAGCAGTTTCACGCAGGACTTCCCAATGTTGTTTTTACACTGCACCAGGGACTCCTATTTTCAAGGGTAGGGGGCTAACCCAGTAGTCCTTGCGGACTAACAGGGTTGCCAAAAATAATTTGGTCTGACATTTCACCAAAAAAAAGCAACCACCCAAATAATCGGCCTGGGAAATGTTGGAACTCCTCAACCAGTGAAGACATTCCGGCACTTCGGGCCATTCCGTGGCCCGGTTTGCAGGTTGGGAAGTTTCGAAGAAAAAAATGTCTTGGCTGAAAACGAAACCTGTTTTCGGGCTCCTTTCCTACAGAAACACCCTCGAGTTGGGTTTGGAGCACGTAGCTCGCGACACGTTCCCACTCGCGCTGAAGAATCTCGGTGCCGCGAGTGGCGCGGAGTTCCAGCGTGCAACCAAATCGAAACCACGAAACAAAGACCCGGTTTCGATTTCGCCGGCACCTGCGGCCGAAGGTCAGAAAAAGCCGGAAGTGAGCCAAGTGGTTCTCTCCAGCTTCTGGGCTGGCCTCAGATCCCCTGCCAAAAGTGACTAACTTTTACTCGCTTGCTTTCTGCTCCCGTGCTAAAAGTGAATATATTTTAGTGGTCTTGGCAAAAAGTTAAAGTCCTAACATCCCAGCAAAATGCAAAAGAACGATAGGTCCGATTATTTCTGGAAAGCGCGCGGCAAACACCCACCAAGACACCGCCCGAAAAAGAAAACGTCAACTAAAACTAGACAGGCCATAGGGAAATTGCAACCAGTCTTAGACCTCCGAAACACCACACTTTATGGTTGAAAGGGACAGGGAAACTTGAAAAATCCTCGCGGTTTGCCCGTGGGACTTTGGCGCTGGAGCTTTTTCATCCAGAAAGGGAAACCGCTCGGCACAGAACCGACACCGAGCCTAGGGTCATGACCCCTCAGCCCAGCAACGACCCCAGGGACCTTAACAACAGCCCGACTTTGGGGGGCTCGCTTCGTCTTTGCCCTGCAAAACCTGTGATCCAGTTGTCGGCTCGGCAATAAGACATCGTCTTTGTCAGGTCGAAGCCGCCGTTCAGGGCAATCGATGCCACCAAAGTTGACAAAAGAACACAACCAAAGAGTAGAACCAAAAACAACACAGCTCAACAGGCGAGCTGACAGCTTGTTTCCCTGCATAGAATTTGAATGGAAGCTTGGTTTGCAAATACCTCGGCGGTTCCCACCCCAAAAAAAAGAAAGAAAAGAAAATACATACATATGTTTGAATCTAGCCCATGTGTAGCGCACTTCAACATGTACGAGCACGAGATTCAAGAAAAGGTCAGACCAAACAGTGGAGTATAATTACTCGCCAACATGGAAGTTAAATGAAGGTCAACCAGTTGCTCAATGGATTTTAACAGCTTGAGGAGAAACATCAACTGGGCGGTATCTTTTTACCCCTTGTTTGCTTTTTGAAGGGACACCGACCGACACCGACAGAAAACCTCCATGTTGGGGGTCCCGAGATCATTTCGCTTTGGTCGCAAGGTGAAAATTCCTAGCTCCGCGGATGTGGCGAAAGCAGATCACTTCTGCAGCTCCACGTTCAGAACCTTGTGGGCAGCTCGGCGTCTTGATGGAAAGTTGATGGGTGTCCCTGGACGGAATGACACCCATCTACAGCGCCATCTAGTTCTATCCTGAAAAGGACACCTATGCTTGTGGGTCTAGACACAACAGTTGGGTGTGGCTCAAAACTGAAAGAGTCAGGGCAGACCGCAGGTTTTGGGTCTTTGTTTCCATTTTCCAAAGGGCCGCTTTGGGGGGTACCGTTTTGTGAGCCTCAAGATTGTCCCTTGGCATGGGCAAGATAAGGAGCTAAATACTTCATAGCTTACTAGCCCGATTGTTATTTCCAATAGTGGCCTGCAATACAACCCCGTTCCATCTGTTAAGGCCTTCATAGTTGAAAAAAGGCAACTGTAAAGAGAAACTAAAGAAGCCAGCAACACACACCCACACACACACACACGCACATCTATATATATATATGTATATATATATAATACCATATATATATATACACACTGCATAATACATTATACATTAATATACATATATATATATATATATATGTACCATGGACTTTGACAAAGCCCTCAAAATGAATGGTTTTCATTGATGTTCCCCTTTAAAACCAAAGGGGTAGGCTTGCCACAAAAAGACACGCCCATACATACACCGATTTGAGGTTTGGGTCTGTTAAAGAAGGGGACCTGGGTGAGTTCCAAAATTCGCCTGAAAATCTGCGGGGTCCAGGCAACTCCACTGGTACTGAAGCAAGCACGCACCAAAAACAACCGTGTTCTATCCGGAATTTCCTGGTGGCTATGGCTTTTGGGACCTTTCATAGGTGATTTGGATGAGTTAGACTACCTTTTATGCCCCAAACAGGCCATGCTTACCACGTTGGGGTAACCCTTTGCAGTCCATGGCAAAAGAACAATTTGTCTTCCAGGACCCCTCCTTGTCTGCTTCCATGTTGGACAGGAGAATCGGTTCTTTGGAAACCACTTGAGACCATTGGTGACCTTTTGGAAAAAAAACATCATGGGCTTCCCTGCTAAATGGAAGGCATAAAACCAATCTTTAAACCAGTGGCTTGCCCATCTATTTCTTGAAGCAAACACACTCCCATCAAAAGGACACCTATGGTTCTGACACTTTCGTTGATCCCTTGCCACAAACCTTGAACTAGTGGGAAAATCCTAAAATCCCAACCTCCAAGCTGATTCAGACGACGGGTGTGGCGCAAAAGGGAACCATTTTGTTTTCCATGTTTCGGACGGCATGTGTCAAAGCGACGCACATGCAAGCAAAAACAAATTCAAACTGTGCCTCCAGGGAACCGCGAAACCTCCCAACTTGAGCTCCAAACCGGCCGAACCGATTCTTTTTTATTTTTCGCCCGGAGGCCGTGGAGCTCACGAGTCCCACCTGCGCAAAAGGCGAGCCGCGCGCCCCAAGTTTTCGGGCCGGAACCGGGTCCGGGGAAAACACATGTTAAGTGGGAGGGTAAAAACCAAGGGAAATTCAGGGACGGTCTGGTTTCTGGAAAAGTTTCCCCCAGAAGTCCGAAACAAGAACCCCTTTCCGTGATACCAGGGTGTGATGTTCATTGCCATGACGATTTCATCACACGCAGGATGCCCTTAGCATCACAGAAAAGCACATTTCAAACAACGTTGGTTTCGCCAGTCGAAGGGTTTTCCAACTGCGTTGACTGGTTCAAAACTTTTGCTTGCCACAACAAATCGTGAAGTCCAGCAACTCGGCAATTGAGTTTTGTGCCAAAGGTACCCAAATAAAGACACACCCACATGAGATACAGGTGATGTGTGGATTCCGCCCATCAGTTGGCGCTTGGGAGTTACTCGTGTGGGCACAGGCCCCCTACGCATCAGCAACCGCCACGAGCAAGCTCACCATGCGAGGTTTCAAACTAGCAGAAACTCTTGGAAAGCCTCGGCCAGAGAACCAGCTCGGTTTCTGAAAGGACACGAGTTCGCCGCGCAGACACAGCCACAAAGCGGGTCGTTTTGCTTGCCGAATCCAATCCATGCCTGACTTCCGCAAGGTGCGGTCGATCGATTCCTACTGCAAACGAGCTGTCACGGTCTTCGACGGCCAAAGTATGTAGTACGATTCCGAATCCCATCTTGGCTTCATCCTTGGGAAGGGAATTTGATTCAGAACAAAACGGCGTAGTTTCAAGAAGTGTTTTATATCATTTGAGCATACCCCACGACTGAAGGAATCCTCACGGGATTGGGGTAAACGACCTGGGTTTTTGGAGATCCACTTCTCTTGGCCAAGCCGAAGATGTCGCAGTGGATGCCGCATTTCTAGGGGTTGATTCCAACTCCATTCTTTTCAACCATCGTTTTCAATAACCAGCTGTTTTCCCAGGGATTTGGGTGGTTTCTTAGAAAGAATGATGCCTGGAAAGAATGGGGAAGGTACTCCTAGAGCATTGGATGCTTTTGGTTCCTCCCAGAACAGGAGGAACTTCCAAAAGCCCTCAGGCAATCCACTTGCAACTGTGAGCTGGTTTTGGATAAGTTGCGAACAAAATCCACGTCTTGGTTTCAAGCCCTCCTTTCCCCAAAGAGCACAAGGCGCGCCTCGGCTAAGGTCAGGCTCTTGTCTCCTTGGTTAAATCCGAAGATGTTCCATGAGGTGCGGTATGCGGTGCGCGGTCAGCCTCTGTTTTGATGCGCAAACCGCTACCCGAAGCGGATGTGATGTGCATATGCTTCTAGCCTGGCCCCATTTGCTAAGAGAGAAATTCTAGCTAGAAATAACTGGCTATCTTTAGAAATTCCAGCTAAAAGAGAATGCTTTGGCCCCATTAAGAGAGAAACTCCAGCTAGCTAGCTTTCTCTCTAAAAAGAAAACAAACCGGATATCTCTAAGGAACCCACGTGCGAGGTGAGTGGGTTAGAACTCCCGGATCGGGATAGAACTCAAGGCCCGCTTTGTGACTCTCCCCGCTACCCTAGCGATGCAAAAAATATTTGAGCCCCCCAAACTTCCAAGGCCGCCTTGGTAGAGGAGGTTGCCCCCATCCATTAAACTCGCCATCCATAAGAAAAATGTCGGGACGGAAAACATGTTTTTGTTCTTCTGAATCTGTTTCATATCTCGCGTACCCTAACTGGGCCGATCTTAAGGCAGTCAAAAGCGTCATCTGACCGTTTGCTTTTTGTTGGAAGGTCTTGTGCCAAACGTATTTCCCCCGTCCGGGAAGCGCACTTTTATAAAGGATCCTTGAGAGAGACTTGCACGCGCGCAGGGCTCCATTTTTGTTGACGCCCAGGTAGACTTAAACACAGGCATCAACCTTCCAGTCTACCTGGAGGTAATCCAAAGAACATGGAACCCTGAAAACATGAAAACCCCTGGGCTTAAGTTTACCTGGAGGTTGACTCCTGCGCACGAAAAATTTCGCGCTTGAGCTCCGTGGATCCGATCCGAGTGGCGGTAGCACTGCTTGGGGTGCAGCGTCATCACCACGTAGGGCGTCCCGGCGCGGATCTCGGGCTCCCGGAGGGCCTCGGACTCCACAAAGTCGTAGATCCGCCTCACCGCGTCCAACCTCACGCGGCGGGATGAAAAAGACGAAACCGCTTCGATTGGGATCAAAGGGGGCATTTGGGGAAATGCAGCAAGGAAACCGGCAGGAGTTGGGGTTCAAGAAATCACTAGTTGGACTAGTTGGACTAGTTGGAGGGAAAATGTGAAGATGCGGTTGAACTGGGCCACAGGCAGTTGACCAGTCCATTTTTGCAGACCCCTGGTTTGGGATACTTCAAGTACGATCAGGGCCTTTGTCTCCCTTCATTTCGGTTAGGGTTCTCTTTGAGCCAACAAAACAACGCCCAAAAGGGAGTTGCGTGTCACCGGGTTTTTTCAGGCCCCTAATTTTAGTTTTCTTGGTGGTGCCAAATAGCCAGGGATTGTATGTTATGCGAATAAGGCACCCCTTAGTTGGTGGTTTGGATTGGCGGTTTGAGCCCCTCCTCCTGTATAGGGTCCCCGCCCCCTAACCACCGCCAATCACCAATCTAAGCCACCAATGGGAGGGAAGCTGAGTGCAAAAAACCAAGCAGAAAACCAAAAAGGCATGTTTGTCAAGTTTTTCCAGCCCCGAAATGGAGAAAATTCCCTTCGCAGCAGTTGGGATGGTGGTGTCCCATGGTGTTTTAGGGTTTCATCTATCCCAAGTGCTAAGCTCAGGTGACATCCCCAACAGCACCACAGCCCTATGAAAACCCTCGCGGAACCCTCCTTGGAACCGCCCCCGCGCATTGCCAGAACCCTCGCAGAACCCTTGCGGAACCCCCGCAGAACCCCCGCGGAACCTTACCTCAGAGCAGCCCCGGACTACCACAGAACCGAATTGGGCTGAGACCCCTTAGCTGTCAGCAGTTGGGGAAGAAAACACATTCTAGAACAAGCTGGGTGCCAGCTTTGCGCAAGTTGGTTGTCTTTTGGGAAACCACAGGGAGATGCTTTATTTTTCGCAGACACCACGCCAATGTCCCATAAGATTCCACTCCAGCGAGCATAGCCTACTTTGGCTTCCAGGTACCCCAGAACCCATTCCAATTAATTACCCTCTAGCCAATCACGGAGGTGGACAGGGGGCTCCAAGAGGATAGCAATCTTCCAAGACCCTGTCAGCTTGCATGACCATGACCTATTCTGGTACGGGTATGGACCAAAACTGGATTTTTCCCCAGAGAAAAAAATAAGCTCAGGTCCCTAACAGCATGTGGAACCCTGCTGGAACCCTGCTGGAACCCTGGTGGAACCCTGGTGGAACCCTGGTGGAACCGTGGAACCCGAACAAATAACTCCCAGAATCCTCGCGGAACGCCCCGGGACCATCCTTACCGCTGGTGTTGCTGAGGATGCCGCCTTGTAAAGCAAAGCTACGAGTGACAGCGCAATCTCGCCCTGATCGGGGCGCGACGGCGCAATCGGGGCCCGATCGGGGCCCGACGGCGCAATCGGGGCCCGATCGGGGCCCGATGGTGGGGGCCCGACGGTGCAATCGAGGCCCGATCGGGGCCTGACGGTGCAATCGGGCCCCGATCGTCCCGTGGTGCAACCCCAGCCACCCATACTATAGCTGAACGCCGGTGACCCTTGGCATGCGGAAGGCAACTGTATCTATAGCAAAACTAGGCGATGCCAGCTTGGTACAGACGGCGCAATCGGGGCCCGATCGGGGCGCGACGGCGCAATCGGGGCCCGATCGGGGCCCGACAGTGCAATCGGGGCCCGATCGGGGCTGGCAAACCGTTCTCACGCAACTTTCGTGGAGCTCAGCGTGAAACTTTGCTGGAACCTTTCCTCAGGGCTGCCCCATAGCTTTTGCAGAATTTGGTGTTTGACCTCATAGCCCTCGCAGCCTCGTGGAATTCTTGGAACCCAAAGCCCACCAAGCAGCAATGCCAAGCATTTACTCTGCTGCACCGTGAGTTCCGCAGCGATGTGATCTGATTTGCCACAAAGCCAACATTTGCCTGGGCAAGTGAGCAAGTCACAAAACAGTGAAAGTGTGCTAAAAACCGTTGATTTCGGTTTTGCTTAGTGTTCCGCCCATGAGCAAAGCGATCTTGATCCGATGGCTTTTCAGACGACGGGCGCACGACGGAGCATTGTGGAGCCTTGTGGAACCCGTGTGGAATCCTTGCAGAGCTTTGTGGAACCCTGTGAAACCTCAGGGCCCACAGCCCTCGCAGAATCTTGTGGAACCCTGAAACCCTCATACAACCTTACCTCAAACCACCCCGGACCACCCCGCAGCCCTCGCAGAACCTCGTGGGACCCTGCTAGAACTGTGCTGGAATGGAACCTTACCTTGCAAAACCTGGTGGAATTCTTGTGGAATTCTCATGGAACATTTCCTCAATCCAGCCCGGACCGCGAAACCCTGGTGGAACCCTCGTGGAACCACGTCGCACCCTCGAAGAACTTGGTGGAACTGTGGTGGAACCCTCGTCCGGAGCACGACGGGCT